AAGAGCGTTATGAGCTTTAATGGAAGCAGCTGAAAATATCACGTGAAAAATCAAAGTTAACATTTGATTATTTTTTTTCTTCTTCTAAATTAACATATAGATCTCTTGGGAAAAGCCTCACTCATGAGATATGTGCTTTTCCCCCCTTCCATACAGAACTCTGTGTTAGGTCCCCAAGAAACACTTCAGTAGAAATTCCTAGTCATATATAAGTGTTGTTGTAGTTCCTCCTTAAAACTAGTAGCAAATAACAGGTTGTTATACAAAAGGATATTTTACAAGAGAGGAAGGCAGAGTTTTAGATCAGTCAAAAGAGTGTTTGAAAGGATGCAGCTCAATTCTTAAAGCTCTATAACATTAGCTTTATTTCAAACACGCACAAAGTTCAATGTCAGCGCTGTCTAGCCAATAAATCAAATTGGTAGACGAGACTTGTTTGGACTAGCAATGAAAAGTTAGAAGGGATTCTCCAAGAAAGCCACAAAGCAGCTCATTTAAGGTCAATTTAACGGTATTATTCTGTTTTTCTTCCAGCCCCGACATAAGATTTCAGTACCTCAAAGGAAATTGTAAGAGTATCTATTTGCATTCCCCCTAGGTGATTGGCAGTTCAACACCAATTAGTTCAAAATTACACTGTTACTAGCGTGCAATAAAAACAACACCTTTCATCTTTCTTACATAGGTAAGGATACCTTCAGAGCCAATAACTTTGATCAAGTAAGTATTTTTGATCCTACCCCACCCGTCTCTTTGGATTCAGGAAAACTAATAGCTGAAGGCAACTTTTTTCTTTTAATATAAAAAAAGTCCCAGCTTTATTCTTCTACTGTAGGAGTGATGTGGGCACTGAAATATAATACACTGGAAACAAATGTTTTTTTCCCAAAGCCCAGTATCTCTTCAATAGACAAAAATACTAGGGTAGATAACATGATTAAACTTCCCCCTCCCTCCTCACTTTTCAGTTATACCTTGGAGATACCTGAGAAGGAAAAAAATTTGTTTCCACATGGAAAACATGCTTTCCATAGTTAGATTTCTTTTCAAATATCAAGAGGTTTACAGAAAATTCTGTCAACTCCACCACAGCCACAATAGTTACATCTACAGTAATAAGGAAGAGCACAGCTCATACAGCTAAATTCTCCTCCTCCTCCAAAAACAGAGGCTTCACCCAGCCTAGCCAGTGGAAACAGTGATTCATGTTACCCCTTTGCCACGTCTAGCGTTGTCTGAAAAAACATTAGGACAGGCCAAAGCAGTGCTAGGAGTGTGACAGCAATTATTCCACCAAGAATTAATCAGTATTTACAATCACCAAGAATTGTGTAAGCCTGTGCTGCTCTCATCCTCTTAGTTTTAATAAAAATTCAACTCTTCGGTTATTCATGTAAGTGGAGCGTGTGTTTCAGAACACTTACTGCTAAGCTGTCCAGCATGCTTACTTAAATTAAATCCCTCAAGTACATATTATTTCCACTGTTAAAACTGTGGAAGAGTTGCAACAGCCACGGCACAAGACGTCTTTAGCCTAATATACTGGCTCTGATATGGCAACAAAAATTATGCACTTTATATAACCTTCACGTTACATCACAGATTACGGTCTTTAACATCGGAGGACCACATTTCTTAGTGTGATTAGTACCATACCTTAACCTCCACACATTTTTAACAAAATGCAATAAGTCTTGTAAGCATGTGGTGCTTACGAGCCTCCATGCTTCTGAAAAAAATATTAGAAAGAGTTCTGACCGAAAAGATGAAGGTTTCGATCCTTGCCACATAAATGAGAACCATACTTAAAATCATTTAAAAATTACTCACAAAAATCTGGCAGAACAGTATCTGCTTGCACATACAGCATATTCCCTTCCACCTACATGCTATATTCAAGTTTAGATTTTTATCTAATTTTCAGCTAAAGCCCATTAATTTTCTCTGTATACCAAACTGGAGGTTTTCAAGCATCCCTTTAGACGGTGCTGCCAACGTTCCTCCCTCGATACGTGAAACATGAAAGAATTCAATTCCCTCTCCTGTTTAAGGGCCTTTAAGCCCCATGTCTTCCACCTCCCAAGAGCAGGAGGGCAAGCGCGCTACAGAGTACGGATGGGCTGCACTTCCACGTTATGTTGAATTCCATACTATTCTCTGACAAATAATCAAATCTTTTGACTGGTGGTCAAGGAGGCCACCGGTACGTTTCCTAACTCCGCTTCCAGCTCATAGACTCCTACAAACTGACTAGGTCCACCTCAAAAAATATTACAGAATTGTAACAACTGTTGCACAGACTTCTAAGCAGAAAAACAGCAAACAAAATCATCTAAAATATTCTCCATCTGAACAGTTGCTACCACTCTGCACTACTTCTAATAGATTCCTGAATAACTACTGGTGTCATTTTCCAGAAAAGCTTTTCTGGTACATAAGCATCATCACCATGACAATATAAAATATCCAGCAACAAATATTTTACAGTTGCTATCTAACATCAAACACATAAAACAATTATAATTACCCCATCCCAGCTTCAAAGACGTTCAATGCATGCACCTTTGCATGTGTGTGCATACACATGCATGTGACAATATAAAAAAATACAGCTTCCAGAACAGCAAAGGTGAACATTACTTGCAGGACACAATGTCACAAGTAGCCAAGAAATACACACAGACTTGATAAAAATGAGCAGAAGATTAACAGCCTCAGACTATTTGGGATCAAAGTATAATGATGAATGCTGTACAGATGCTTATAATTTCAGAAATTTTAGTAAGTATTTAAGAAAACTAGTATTTGCCCTTTCTAACAATAGTTACTCCTAATGCTCACCACCAGTATTTCAATTTCTCCAGTTCCTCATCTGGAGTTACACAACACTATGAGCATTCCTTAAAAAAAAAAAAAAGTCTAGCAAAACACAGCAATTTTGGGGGGGTAGGGGAAAGGGGAGTGAGAAGGAAAGGGAAAATAAAAGTCTTGAGTATTGAATTTAAGCACTGAAACCGTGGTTGATTTTAATAAAAAAATAAGTCGTTACTTCTCCCCCAAACTTTCAACCCTAGAATAAAGATAACCACCACGTTCTGTTGTTATCAAAGTCACTGAACACAATTATTCCCCACAGAGAGTGTTGACTCAGACATACCAAAAGTGCCAAAATTAACATGGAAATTTGAAGCTGAAATTTGAGCCTGAAGATAACAGATTCCGTGATCAAGCAATTTAGAAAGAAGAGACATACTGAGATTTATGAGAAGAAAAGATTGAGATAGAAGAATGGAGAGTGCAAGAGAAATGGAGGAAATTAACGTTTAAAAAAGAAAAGAGAGGAACATGCCTTTCAGAGAAGCCATAAAAATAGACAAGCCATGACATGAATATTCCTTGTTTATCCAACTTGAAGTAATTGTGTAAGTCATGGATGATCGTGGATGGATGGTGCATCCATGCATTTAAAAGCAATTCAGAAGAGAACTTGAACCATGTGATTGCCAGATTTAGAGAGTCAGAATCAATACATTTGCTGCAAGTGCTGTCCACAATGCTGCAGCATTCTTTATCTTACAAACTAAAACGTCACATTGCTCTTGAAATACTTCAAAAGAAACACACATGTCAAGAAGTACAAAACTGTAATACTACATATATGAAACCTAAAATAGTTGTGCAATCATTCATTGTAATGGATGCAAAGAAATTATTAAATTCACTGTGGAGCTCTTAGAATATGAAGAACCGTTCTGGTATTTAGAATTTAAGCTAATAATTTGTTAAACAGAACTGAACTAAAACAGGAAAAAAAACAACCTCAGAAAACCCTCAATGCAGTAAGTTGAGCCTCCTGCTAATACGTTCTCTCTTCTTCAGACAAGGCTAAAATACAGTCATTTACCAGCCCAGACTATTTTGCAATAAGGGTGGTGGATCTGGCAGATTATTCAATTTACTTTTTCCTCAGTCTCAGAATATTCATGCATTATTGCTGATGAACATGCTAGTAATGAAAAAAGAAAAAATTCAATCTTGAACAAGTGAGGATCTCTATCTTCATGATCCCACAGAATCAACAATCATTAATACAGGCTTAAAATCTTGAACTTCTCTATCCTGAGAAAAGTGGCAACGTTATGCTGAGATCAATACTCATGACCAGAAGCTCTCTACGCTAAATACTATATCTGAAGCAATACTGGCACATGCATACCATTAAGCCTCCTCTGAATTGCTTCTTCCTCTAAAGTGATGATATACATCTGTTCATCTAGGTCTTCAAGGATCTGTATTGGGAAACAGAAACATGAATTCACCGAATATCAGCAGAAACATTCACTTGTTTCTATGACTGCAGTAAACTAGTCCAGTTTGTTTCGTTTCAGTAACATTTATTTTGAGTATATATTCTACTACTTTACAACACTGGTTCTGGTTGAACTCCAGAGAAGACTATTCTATTCTATTACAGAGCTATTTCTTCACTATAAACTTCTATTAAGTTTTTATTTCAGGTTAAAATTGTACATTTAATCTCAATCCAAAGACATTTGTGGAACAGGTTAAGGGACAGGATGTCTGACCTGCATTCAAATCATTCTACATTAGAAAAGAGGATTAATAACCTATCAACCCTACTCAGTTTGCTTTAAATAAAAACTATAGATTTTGCAAAAGTAAATTCAAAAGCGATTTTTCACACAAGCCAATATTTCAAGCTATGTTTGTTGCTATTGGAACTTAAAAGCCAAATACATAGACTGTCTGCCTTAGTATAGTCAAGTGCTTTGACTTTAAAGCTTATAGATGGCAAAAGCTTTGTATATTTTTCCATTACTCAGTTCAACCTTGGAAACACAAGGAAAAGAGATGTAAGACCTAAACACACCCAGATTTCAATAAATGTAAACTAGGAAACACAGCAGCAAGACCACCAGAACATTTATGTACACAACTTTCCCCTCCCTCACACGGAGTTTCCTACAGGGACAGTACGCTGTCTACGCTGAAGAGGTTCTTACGGTTGTCAACCTCCTACAGCAAAGGCAACTTCACTAATGTAAGGAGTTCCCTTCTCCTTGTCCTCTAGCCTTAGTTTGGTCTTATCAACTTAGCTCCTGAACTTGGTTTCGGGGGGG